GTGCAGCAAAGCGCAAGATCGTACTTGGTGACACAAACTTTGAATTGTATCTTAGAGGCTTAAATAAATTTGTAATTCCATATACTAACTGCATTTGCATTTTCTGAAGCAACTTGACCATACCACGAAATATAGAAATACTTCTGTTATTTCCATATTCGAATATTAATTAGCTACTTCGATAGTAATTGTTAACAGTGACAAACACCACAATACATGATCCATGCATTGTAGTCGCCTTCGTTCGATTTCTTTATTCACAAGTTTCTTCATTCTTATTCTTATGTCTCAGAATAATCACCATTCATGAATTATAAACAACAATGAAGGATGTTAGTTAATCAATTGCACTGTTGTTTTTAGTTGACTTGACAATCATCAGGTGTTGACAGAGTTGTATGACACTTTTGAAGCCAAACTTGCAATAAGCTTTTCACATCGTAGTAGGTTTCTCTGGTATCGAATTTGTACAAACTATCACTTTAACACTTTCGTCTTGTCTGTTTTTCTCTGTCTATGTCCACATCCTTAAAAATTTAAGATATAAATCCGTCCCAAAGTCTGTTCTTTATACGATCAACTGGGGCTACAAAAGGATAATTACCCTTAATCTCTAATACTCCAAATGCTGCTGATGTTAACAGAAATCATAATTCTTAAAAAGATTGGCGTCTGTGTTGGAATAACGGGATTATCCTCGAAACAAACCTGTTGTCGTGATTACATAAATATCTACATAATTTGATGATACTCAAGTAAATTACTGTGGAGTTTAAACAAAATCTACATTAAAATATTACCACCTTTAATGCGAATTAGCGATGCGCAATTGCGAATGTTTTTGATATTCGACTCGTTAGTAATTACTAACCTGTCATTCGAATGACAAATAACTTACCAATTTTCTTATTCGAATGATCTGAATGATTATTCATTACTAAACCATACATTCCATAGAGCGCAACGGTACTCGTGATCACCTGCCCTCTCTGACATGGTAAGTTTATTGGACTTAGACGAATGATTTGCTCTTTCGAATGATTAGTATTAGTAACATTCAAAGTCGCTTATCGCTAATGCGAATACAAAATAAAATTATTATGATAACAAAATTGCTCTATATTTTCGGCTTCATGTTGCAATCAACATCTGCTACAACTACATCTACATCTACATCTACATCATCATCCACATCATCATCTACATCTGCAACTGCATTACTATACGTTAATAAGACAACGTTCAGTGTTAATCGAATTTTAGTAGTGATAGCGGTCCTTGTGAAAGATTTCGTCCAGGGTAATGGGTAAAGGTGGCAACCTTAGCCATTTCTGCAGCCAAGCAGTAATGTCAGCATTGCTGCGTTCCAGTTTTGAATGGTTATGGTGCTGGAAATTACAGGTACGTGGGACTTGTCAACTTATGCCTCAGGGTGACGGGCGCTGTGGCAGTGCCCCTCAGATCTTTGCGATTTAAAACTCTGAGTGTCATTGCAAGTGGTCGGTCATCCCGTCACTAGATGTTATAAAAATAAAAAAGAATTAAATTGAAATTAAAAGCAAAAATCGTACTGATTTTAAGACCGTGCACCAAAGGATCCTTCCCGTAAGACGTACCATTATCATTCGACGTATTATCATTTCCGATATGCCTAGCGCACCCAAAGATCAGCCAGAACCTTACACCGATTGACAAGTCCTTTCACCACGTCTTGGCTACAAGTCTACACCATCAACACAAGAAGAAGACTATCACCGACTACTGGAGTAATAGTAAGCAATGCTGAAATACTAATCATTCACATGATGTTCATATAGATAAATAGATATCTAGTAGTCAATGGTTTGCCGATATACAATTTTAATACGTTTGTACATTTTATTTGTCCTAAATTCTTCGTTTGAAAATTATCCTAGACCTCAATTCGTCGTTTTAATCATAATTTTAGTCCTCAATTCGTCGAAATTCGTCATTTAAAAACTGAATTTGTTATTTGAAAAGTGTCATAGTCCTCGATTCGCCATAAATGAGCGCTAACGTTGAGTCATTGTTTTAAATTCATCATTGATGAGTGTTTTCGTTTCTTAAATATAGTTCTAAATTCGTAATTTGAATATTATCCTAGTCCTTAAATTGTGTATCAGAATGTTCATTATTTTCTCGTGGTCATTGACTTACTGAACGTCGGGTCCGCGCTAAAAAGTGTCCAAACTTATAGGGCGTTAAAATCGTATACAGAGCGTCATTCACGCTGTAGTCTTCGTTTCTTCGACTGACAGCGAAGCAAGCAAAATTAGACAGTACTGCGATGACATTACAATTTAAATTCAACGTTTTAGCTTTTTCATATTCCTTTACATGTCACTACGTTTAAATAGGTTGACTTGGGACATTTTTTTCGTGGTTTTTGTATTAGATCCGTCGTCCATTTATTTGTAAGTCAATACTCGTGGTCTTAAGTTCGTCATTTGAGCATTGTCGAGATCATTCGAGCCTTGAAAGGCAAAATGGGATAAGCGACACTTGTTGGAGTTATATATAATACCGTTGGAATCAGAGACATTAGCTGATTCCAACGGTATATGACCAAAAGTGTCACTTATCTCATTTTGCCGTTCTAGTGTCGATATACTCGTTTACACATATCGAAGGAGTCAGTAAATATCTTTAAAAGTGCAATTTGCGTTGCCGTCTGTACAATAGTTCTCTGTTGGTACGTACCATCCGGAACACAGCAATGCGGGTACTTTAGGAATAAGAGGTCAAAATGAGAGCACTCTACTCGAAATGTAATCGGACATTCAAAGTGTCGACACAATGTATTGTGGCTAAAGTCAAAATCAAACAATCTTTCTTTCATAGGTAAGTAAATTACATTTGAAATCGTCATACTGATTAGACTCTACTGCTCAGTCGTAAGGGAGATTCCCCTGAGAAGAACGAATAAGAAATACTGGGGGTTGCTCTTTGTAAATACACATTTGAATACATTTATCACTACAATTAATTTGAATATCTCACTTAGATCGAGATTACCTGCATGAGCTAAACGGGCCACTACCACGGATTTATGTCATCCAAGTACGCAGAAGCTGTATAATAAACCTTCAAAAAGTTTTTGTTTCACTTCAATTTTAGACCTCGTAAATGGGAAATTTTGAATCTTATTATAGAAGCGTATATATACATTGCCCCTTAAGAGGGAGCATGCCAAAAAATTTTGACGTTGGCTCCGCCCAAATTTGTGAAACAAATATATGCCTGAAGTTCGCGTGACAAGCGACAGGAGATGTTGAATTTTGCGCATTAAAAGTACCAAATTCGTTTTAGCGGAATAACTCTAAAACTAAAGGGATTCAAAAAAAATCCGTAGTGACAGTTCTCGATCATGCATAAATATAATTAATTATCTAATTTTTGTCCTAATAACCTGTAGCATTTCGAGGATAAATCGAAAAAATGTGAAAATTAGAGGTCATTTCGTGATTTTTATCTATCGAGGAAACTTTATTGTTTTATGTTTCTGATTAGTGTCTATGCTTGAATATATCGTGTAGTTACTCATACAATATTTTATTTTTAACTTTAAAGTGGATATACACCTCTAAAATCAAATCGAAGATTAGGAATTTTTCCTCTGCTCCCTCTTAAAGGAATTTGAGACTTATGAAGACAACTGTCAAGAACAACTGCAGGCTGGCACGAAGCCGTTCGTCAGAAACCCGTGCCGCCTTTTTGTGTCAGAGGTCAAGGCGCACATCGATCCGCTGAATTACCGCAATAAGCAAGCATCTACGATGATAATGTAACAGAATACCGTGCGTAAAGTTGCGCGCGACAGTCATGGCCTGCGCGTCGGCGGCTAGAAAAAGCGCGCATATTTAACGGCGCGCGAACCGTTACGCGCGCCCCATATACCACACGCTGCGTACGCGCCGATGAGTCGCTCTGTGATCACTTAGATGTATGTTTTGTAGACGTATCAATTTTGAGGACAAGCAATAAGCGTCGTGATATTGGCCATATGTTTTCTTTCTTTGAATTAGACTATATTTCGCCTTTGGTATGTAGAGTTATGATGAATGTCCCACATGAGAGATGTTGTCGTAGGTCTTACGTTGCTTTAAATTATAAAGATCTCCACTTACATTTCGTTCTACTTCGTTAAAACACTCATGTCGCCGTCAAGAAGTATTTGGGGCACTTGTGCAGTATTTGTGCCTGAATATTCCTAGGCATTTACAATTTATTTTAATGACCTTTCATGGCGCTCAATGCGACGAATATCATCGCCGCAACACTTGTGAATGATTGATATATCCGCTACGCCTGCACTTAGCCAACTCCACCGCGGGCGAAATAGATTAAACGTTTGAAACAACCATTGTATTGTCGACTTCAAATTAATATGTTAAAAAACGAATTAGTGAATATAGATTTAGGTAAAGATCATTTTTTACACATAAAGCGAATGTGTTTCTTGGAATCTCTCGACGCGTTCGCCAGCTGACGAGACGAGAACGCAAAACTTTCATATCCCTAAAAGCTTTCCAGCTAGAGCAGTAGCTATCTTGTGAAAACTAACTTAAGCTATACGCAAATCATTTGTGGGAAAAAGTTTCAATGTGCACAATAGCCACGTCACATGTCACTCGCCTCGGTTCACAAACCTCTACGCCTACTTCAAGATTAAAACTCACGTCTCAAGGAGACTCTTCGAGATATCCAAATTTCATGTTTTGACTAAAATATTACATGTTAGTATATTGAACCGACACAGGTTAATGATTTATTCAAACGTAACGGTGAATGTATTTGGTTAAAATCGACTGTGTTGAAGTACTAGTATAATACTAGATATGGATTGAGAAGTTGGCGCCTGTGAAAAGAATTTTAAATTGGAACCGCGTATTATGGGTACCCTCATTATGTTGACCGATTCCTTAGCTGGCGTAAGTGACCTAAAAACACTATCTGAAAAAAATGGTGAAAGTTCGTACCTGAAAGGAAGGAGCTGGCGAAGGAATCATCCTGGCAGCGGTGCGGTGTGAGGATGGAGAGGAGCAGCAAAAGCACACCAGCTCGTGTCACTGTCATGGCGGCACTGTCAAACTGTCACTGGGCGTCGCTGTGTAGGCGCATGGCGGGGCGTCCGCTCGCCTTCTCGTGCGGGCTTACACTGGTGAAAGAAAGAAAGGGGTTTAGGTGCGTGTACGCCGCCTCACATAGACTATGGACCGGAGAAAGCAACGTCTTGCGCCTGTGGATACTTATCCCGAACTGCGCCTCACTGAGGCATCGCTGTAACATACACAAGGAATATATATTACTAAATTTGCTTTTATTGTTAGGATTTGTATGTACTCGTCGTCCTATATTATCTTTGAATAGGCGTACAATGTCCAGATTTATGCACAAAGGAACGTCTCGCAGGCGATGCAAGCGATACGGCAAGAATGAAAATCTGAGGGCTAAAGACTTCCTATTCTGCTATCCATTGATGTAAATACTGTTTGTGTTCAACTACGAGGCGTCTAATCTATGCCCAAATTAGCATCGTTTAACGGCAAATATGAGGTGGAGGATCTCAACGATAAATACATATTATGGAGAGCTCGATGAACTTGTTTATCGCTCCCACATTATAATTCCACATCTCTGAGAACTGACTAAATTATGCCAAGATATGATTACAATTGTTTTGATTACAGTTGACATTAATCATTAATTTACGTGTACTTGCTTTTGTAACTTAGTGGCCGAGACTGCTTCGTGAAATGGTGGTGTGATTTCACTTAGTTTTACAACACTAATCATCACCCTTAGATTGTTGTAATAGTTATGTGTTAAAAAAAAACATAATGAGAAATTTGATGGGCTTGGATGGGACTACCCACGAATCTACTTTTTTATATTTGTAACTTTTTCGTTGAAAAGAAAACCGACCCCATAACTTTGCTTATCAGTTTTTTTCGATTTCCATGAGATCTTCACATCGGATTCTGACTTCTTGGTGACAACGGGACTGTTACGGACTCCTTTGTACGTTTCATATTTCCTTTTCTGGTTGACATAGTGATGATGATTTGTTGATTACATGCCTTGTGAAAAGTCGACTTTTATTCGAGGAAAAAAATTAGTAATTTGTGATAGCCGAAACGAACCCACGTATACCCTTTCAAACAAAACACGAATATACAAAATAGGTCCGCAATTGATGGAGAAATTGGTGTATACACGGACATGCCCATAAAATTTAGGGATTTCCTCCGATTTTCATGAGATTCCCAAGTCAGTTTCTGACTTGATGGGACCACCTCGAGAGTGCACACTTTCGAAGAGTTTTCAAAATCAGTCCACAATTGACGCAGTTATCTGAAAACTCCTCCTACTTTTTAAAAAAAAAAAGAAAAAGAATCATCCAAATTCGAAGCGTTACCACCGATATTGAAGAGCATACGTTAAAAAGTACAAATGAAAGATTATAACTCAATTGACTAGCTTCAAAAGAGTAACAGGAAAACGAATGATCGACCAATCGTTATATTATATCGACCCAATTATAATGTCGAGCAGTAAGTCACGACCTAGTAAAAGTAAAAAAAAATTAGGAACTAGAAGGCAATGTTTGACCACTTGGGCGGCTGTCATCCGCGCGAATGTGGTAACACGCTGACGTGACCGTGATTTTTAAAGCAATCGGTTATATTACAATTTCTTTTTATAGTCGGATTTTTAATTAGAGACATTTACTAATGTCACTTTGAGAGATAAGCTTAAAGATATTAACATTCATACACTAGCGTCACAATACATTTACGAAAATGTTATTTATGTTAAGAAGTATAGTAAGTTTTTATTAAAAACACTGACAGACATAACATTTAACATCCATGGTAGTGATGTTTCAAATAAATATTGTGAATGTTAAATGTATCCAAATGTATATATTAAAAGAGCAACTCCTAGAGTTTCTTGCTCATTCTTCACAGGGGATTAATATGACGATTACAAGTGTAATTTGCTTACCTATGAAATAACGATGATTTGGTTTTGAATTTGGATTTGAAAACAATGTTGCCACTTTTATGAGTATGGGTTTGGTTCAGTTTTTAATGGACTTAATGAAACTCATTCATTATCATCATACATTTTGTATTTGAGGCTAAAAAATAGTTCATTTAGTCCTAGAAAGATATAATTATCTCACTATCAGTGAACGGGCTGCGTTGGTAGTAATTTGTGGTGTATTACGTACCTTATAATTTACATCTGACAATAAGTGGGGGTAAATATTATGAAGGAAAAAAAATGCGGTGGTAGCCCAGTGGGAAAACGGTTGCTTCTTATTTCAGAGGTCGACGGTACGGACCTCTTGCAAATTTTGTCAACGTTCATTAGGAGAGAGGTATTCCTGCTTACGGCCAATAATAATAATAACAACGCACACACTCATTGCCTCGCGCTAGGGAAACCCTGTATACCGAGTGCCATGGACACAACATAGAGAACCACAAATGATACCCAAAATCACGGGAGAAATAAATGTAACAGAAACTATGTGGGACCTTTTTGCTTGGCAGACCAGCAGTGTCACCGTTCGGCCGCGGAGGCAGGCATGGAGGCACTATACTTTGTCGATTGTAATTCTAGCCAGAAGAATTTACAAAATCATTTTCAATCTGTTAGCATTTCACATTAATATCGTTTGAAGAACAAACAGTTAAGTCTTATTCTATTCCCGAAGTGGTCCCTACCGCCTCCCAGTGGACGCTGAAGAGTCTAAGGGCGGTAGCAATTGGTGGGCGTTGATGCTGTCCAGGGGGTGCTACCGTATTTGAAAAATAAACCTAAATTATCTATATAAACTGTACTACAAAAATTATATTTTTTTCCTTGTGATTTCTTGTGTTAAGTTAATATAAAAAATTCGTGTTTTCTATTATGTATTGTGGCGATAGACGTTTATATTCTTTATAACATCCTTAAGTGGGCGGTGAACCAAGAAGTTTGGGAATCTATGTTTTAAATCCAATTGAAGTTTGGTGATATTTTTCAGGTATCAATTCTCAATATCAATCGTTTTTTTACATTTTGAAAATGTAAAAAATGGTTGACATCCTTTAAACAGACAACATACATTTGTGCGACCGACAGAATCGATCGATTTGAAGATTGCCGTCTGAGGATGTCACCACATTTAGCGACGAGGAAACGGCGTGAGGTTGTAATGTTTACCCATACTTGTCGCATTAAGGAGTCACTCGCACTTGATACCGACTTAACTTAACCGACTTCAAAAAAGGAGGAGGTTCTCAATTCGATTGTATGTTCTTTTTTTTTGTATGTATATTACGCGATAACTCCGGTATTCGTGAACCGATTTTCATGATTCTTTTTTTGTTGGAAAGGGGGTTCTTCCATAGTTCTTCCATCAACATTCTGCTTTTTGAGCCTCTACTGCGCCGTCGTGTAATGTCTTAAGCTCTCCGTCGTAGACGCGGCCTTTAGAGTATCGACACGGCTGTTCGGGCGCTGTCGTATAGCCATCGTCTATGTTGTTGCGTATCAAATGTGGCTTTCTTATTTTTTTAAAGTCGTTCAGCTATAGACGCAACTGTTTGCCGCCTACCGTAGTCATCGTCGGCTGTAATATTTTAAAACTAGTTATATAATAAAGCACACACTCACGTTACTGTTACTGTTGTGTTAGTTACTGTTAATGTCGATTACAATTTGCATATTTGGTTTTGGTTTTTAAGTTTTTTGAATGTTTGAGCACCATGATATTCAGGTACTGCGGCTGAGTGAGGAAAATCTCTCATAGATTTGTCATAGACGTATTTTCTTAAAACTTAATATAAACGAACACAAAAAAATTGAGACAAAAAGCAGAGGCTTAGCATATATAACGGCGATAAGACCGCGCAGCGCTGTTTTTCAGCCTCTCCCTAATCCTTATGGTCCTGAGTGAGAACCATGTCAACGAGGGCTGATGAAGAATATCATTATTAGCATACACTTATTTAAAAAAATGATATTGACGAACATTATGAGAAAAAAATAATACTAAAGAAAAAACTATGACAAAGAAACATTAATTCAAACAGTTCGTGGAATCCGTGTGCGAGTGTGTATCTTTATGTATATGTGTGACTGGGTGTTGTGCCTTGTTTCATTTAGTAGCGATGGTAATTAGTTGAAATGGGATTAGTTGATATCATGTCAAAAGTAGTGCACTATTTTTAGGTAAATATTTTTTAGGTTTTCCAGTTGTCGTCGTTTTAAAGCCGATTTGTACTATGTTCTCTCATTTTATTCCTTAGTGGTGGAGGTTAGTCATTCTAGATACACGCTGTATAATACCTGAAACAGCCCCCATATCGTACTGTTCTATGATTAGACAAATACAATTATAGTATAAATACAATTGCTTTTCGTTAATAGAAACATTGAGTGGATTTGTTCAAAAAGCGCTTTTTATTTTTCCATCAGTATTTCATTTCAATAGCTCCATTATTTGATGTATCGGGCGGAAAAATCGTTCCATGATTTTATGAGAAACTCTAATTAAATACCGAGCTAGACTTTAATAAAGAGCTGTATCGATCAGGCCCGGGGCTGATGCGTTTCCTGGAAATGCAGGAGGGCGAAGGGAATGAGGAAGAGGGGGGTCGCCCATTTCACTACACATAGGTAGAAAGTATACAACGAATGGTAGATGTACACGCCCATCGTCCATGCCCTTTACACGCTGAGTAATTTTAACAGTGTGTAACACCAACACACACAAGGTTAGGAATTGATTTAGACAATAATGTGCATGGGAGAAATATATACATACGTACGCGAATAAATCTATTTGGACACGCTTTGTGGAGGCTATTTAAAGTTGTAACAAACAAACGATTTTTCTGAAGCAGTTTTTGAAGTCGGTTAAAAAGAAGAATTAGACATATGTTTTAACAAAATGTTTTGGATAGCTGACAAATGTTCTTCGTTATCTGTGTGTACAATAAAATATTATTATGTAAACAGGGCCTTGTGTAAGTATGGACTTATGTGATAAAAAAGTACGCCGAAGCTCACGAACATAGAGTTCATCACGTGAACATTCAGGCTATACAGCTATTAGATAATACAAATATAGTGCGTAGAGTACAAAGAACTA